GCCTCGGCAGTAGCTAGCATTTGGAGAGTGATCCACTGTGTGGGAGATCCCTCTTTGTTGCCCTCTCCATATGTGTGTGTTTGAAATAAATAAAGATGCAAAAAAAAGTGGGATAGTAAAACTTGTATGACTACATCAAAGAGCCTGTTTTACAAGATTGATTTGTAAAGGGGAAAAACAAGTTTCAGAACTGAAAACTATAGAGACAGAAAAATGATTCATCTATCACCAGCTTTGTGCTCAAATCAATGATAAAGGCAAGAGGCAGCCCAATAAATAGGGTTTCAATTGTTAGTCATGCAATGTATTCTATCCCTATACTCCTTCCATCAAGCACCCCCAACCTCAACGCACAGCTGCAGATCTGCAGAGCAGAGTTCACTGGTGGCTTGGAACTAGCTGAGGGACCCCACTGGCAGGCAGACATATGTCTATCCTTGCAGGCAGGAGAAGTGGAGAGGCTTTCTTTTCTTTCTTTTTCATTCTTACCTTAAAGCATCCTTGGTTCGAATTCTTCACTTCAACTCCCCGCTTTGCCGTTGAACTACTTGGTTAAGTCTGCAGGGCCTGTTGACATTGGGTTGTCTACATTAACTGCCAGAGCCACTTTAATCACTGGGATAGGATTAAATTTGAAAATTATATTTTTACAAAGATTCTTTCCATGTTTTCACATCTTTATGATGTGAATAAATATTTGTTAGACAGTGTCTACAGTGTTTCAAGTGCCCAGACAAAAATGGAAGCAGTTGGAACATTAAATCTAAAAATTCCAGATGTGTAGAGATATCTGGATATGTCACTGAAATTTTCAGATTTCATCCAGATGTTTGGTGTTATGGTTGCTTGTTTCTACAAAAGTCATACATTTATGGTACAATATAAATATGGATTATGACATTATATAGATTCAGCTTCCCATTAACCTAATTCACTGTGGCCACCTTAGGAAATTATGAGACACTATAGATTCATATATAATTTGTTTTCTTCTCTAATGTAAAGCCTAGGAGACCAGATATTATACACATTAAATGCAAATGTGCAAAGTGCCTGGATTCCAATAACACCTCCACTTCCTATACAACTTCCTGCTAATGCTCACCCTGGGAGGCATCAGTTGATGGCTGAATTACTTGGGTCCCTACCACCCAGGTGGGAGACCCAGGTGGAGTTCTTGGCTCTTGACTATGGTATGGCCCACTCCTGGCTCCTGTGGTTATGGGGAGTGAACCAAGAGATGGAAGATAATCTCTTTCACTCTCACTGTCTCATTCTGCCTTTCAAATGAATAAAAACAAATAATTTTAAAAATTAAATGGTAAAATGTCATATGATGAGAAAGAAAATGAACGGACATACTTTCTTTTAAATACAAAGTCGTATTCCTAAAATCCCTACATTCTTAGAATTTTCTCACGTGAAATTGCACATGACAGATGGATGCTGGTATTACAGAACTACTGTACCTCCTCTCCTAGAGAAGAACATAAACATGGATTTCAATAACTCTATTCCTCCCATTTTTTGTTTCCTGTCAAGATTATTTTGCATGAACATTTCAGTCTTGGTGACAGTGATTATGATGATGACTTACATGTTTTTTTTTTTTTTCCCCATCTGGAATGGTCAATGGAGAAACTATCCTATGGAGAATCTTGAAAGCCTCATTATTCCAATATCAGAAATATGAAAATTGAGACAGAGAAAAGTGTGGTTTTCCCAAATTCACACAAAAACTCAGAAGTGAAGCCAAGAGTAGTACCCAGCTCATGTGCAACAGATCTAATGTAACCTGCACTGTCAAGCTCACACGGTGATTAGGCTGAGTAGTGTAATTACCTAAAGTACAGGGCAGGAAAATAGCGCCCCATTTACCAACCCAGTCACAGCAAGTAGAGGAATTACGTGAATGAGAGTCACCATATGGATGGTGCTCATGCATTTCACAATCCTGTACTTTACCTTCTTATCCTGAATGCTCTAAAAACGGGAGTTTGAGATAGAATTCAAATAAAAAAACCAAACCCCAATTCTGGAGCCAGATAAAGACGTAGGTGTTTAAATCCTGGTGTTAGATTAAATCCTGGGGTTAGAGTTTCCATCTGTGTCATGCTCATGTAAACTTTACCTCAATTGTCTCATTTATAACATAGAAATAATGTTCACAACATGAGGGGAAAGTGTATTAGAAATAAAGCACATGTAGCACATATGCTGTAACATGATGCATGTAGTGATCCTTATGAGTAGTAAGCAGAAATAATGTCAGTTCTCATCAAATATTTTTTAATGATTTATTTTATATTTGAAAGGCAGAGAGTTACAGAGAGGCAGAGGCAGAGAGAGAAAGAGGGAGAGAGAGAGGGAGAGAGAGACTGACAGAGAGAGAGAGAGAGAGAGGTCTTCCATCCGCTATTTCACTCCCCAAATGGCAGCAATGGCCAGAGCTGAGCCAATCTGAAGCCAGGAGTCTGGATCTTCTTCTGGGTCTCCCACATGGGTGCAGGGCCCAACAACTTGGGCCATCTTCCACTGCTTTCTCAGGCCATAGCAGAGAGCTGAATTGTAAGTGGAGTGACCAGGACTTGAACTGGCACCCGTGTGGGATGTTGGCACTTCAGGTGGTGGCTTTACATGCTATGCCATAGTGCTGGCCCCTCACCACTGAACTTTAAATCAAATTTTTACTATATTGTATTATTTTTGTCAAATGGACTAGTGTATAGATAGGTAATAAATGAGACATGATGTTAATTGAGCCCAGCAGTGAAAGCAGTGACAATCCCTAGTTAAGAATCATCTCAATTTCAATATTTAATTGTGTAAATGTCTAAGGAATTTATACTAACTTTTATGAATCATGTAATTTGAAGGTTGCAGATATAAATATGTCTTTGGAAATTTGAGTTATTTCTCATCACATTCCCATTGGCACTGTGTATTCACAGAAATTGAGATTATTTCAAATATAAAAATGCAGAGGCCAGCGCCGCAGCTCAGTAGGCTAATCCTCCACCTATCGGCGCTGGCACACCGGGTTCTAGTTCCAGTCGGGGTGCCGGATTCTGTCCTGGTTGCCCCTCTTCCAGGCCAGCTCTCTGCTGTGGCCCAGGAATGCAGTGGAGGATGGCCCAAGTGCTTGGTCCCTGCACCCCATGGGAGACCAGGAGAAGCACCTGGCTCCTGCTATCGGATCAGTGCAGTGCACCGGCTGGCCATGGCAGCCATTGGAGGGTGAACCAACAGCAAATGAAGACCTTTCTCTCTGTCTCTCTCTCTCTGTCCACTCTGCCTGTCCAAAAAAAAAATAAAAAAAAAATGCAGAACATTCAAAATATATTTGGTGTAGGAGAATGAAATATATTTGGTGGTGAAGCAGACCTGTCCCTATCAGATACAAAGATCTGGCACAAAATTACAGCAAGAATGAAAATATGATGTTCTCACAGGTAAAAACTGACCCAGGGACAGAACAGAGTAGAGCAGAAAGCTGTGCATATGAGAGGCCTTCAAAAGCTCATGGATGGGGCCAGTGCTGTTGTGCAGGGCACTGAGCCTCTGTTTGTAACACAGCATGCCATGTGGAGCACCAGTCTGAGTTCTGGCTGCTCTGCTTCAGATTCAACTCCCTTCTAATGCACCTGGGAGAGCAGCAGACAATGCCCTGAGTACTTACTCCCTGCCACCCACATGGGAGACCCAGACGTGGTTGTGGGCTCATCTGACTGGGGGAGTGAACCAACAGATGGAAGATTTTTCTTTCTCTGTTTCTCTTTCTGTCTCCATTAGCATAACTTTCAAATAAATAAAATAAATCTTGAAAAAAAAAACCTCAGAAACCTCTTGGAACACAAGAAGTTATCATTTAATTCCATTTTCTGTGAGCTTTTTGAAGCCACTTTCTACATGGAAGCTTTATTGATGATGGAATTGAAACAGTGATCACTGAGAAAATGGTGACTTTTGTAAAAAGCTACCTAGAACAACTTGTTCTTTTTAAATATTTATTTATTTATTTATTTGAAAGTTACACAGAGAGAGGGGAGGCAGAGAGAGAGCGAAAGAGGTCTCCCATCCACTGGCTCACTTCCCAGTTGGCTGCAATGGCTGGAGCTGCATTGATTCGAAGCCAGGAGCCAGGAGCTTCTTCCCAATCTTCTCCATGGGTACAGGGGCCCAAGGACTTGGGCCATCTTCTGCTTTTGCAGGCCACAGCAGAGAGCTGGATCAAAAGTGGAGCAGCCAGGTCTCGAACTGGCACCATATGGGATGCTGGTGCTTAAGGCCAGGGTGTTAACCCGCTGCACCACAGCACCGGCCCCAAGAACAACTTGTTATTCATACAGAATAAATCGAAGCATTTGCTTTCCTCTACATACTAAAATCAATACTTCCTGGTTTGACAGGTTCAATTTGAAATGCAAACCTTAAACTCTTGGAAGATGTAGAATACATTTGTGGCCTCAGCAGAGAGTATGCTTCAATAGCTCTAACCATTAAAGAAACAGTGTGTAAATATAAATACATTAAGAGCTTCTGATCATCAACAAATACTCCAAGAAAAGGGGAGGGCACAAACAGAGAAGATAGTAGCTTCCATACAACTGAAGGTATTAAATTAGGACTCAGACATTTTAAAGTCCATAAAGAGTAAGATTAATTTTAAAAAGAATTCATACCAGATACAGGGAGGTATTTCATAGAAGCACTACAGTGGGCCATTATTTTTTTAAAAAACAAAGTTAATTTATCTATGAGAAATGAGAGAGAGAGGCCTTCCATACATCAGGCTCACTCCCCAAATGGCAGCACTTCCCAGGTGCAGCAGCAGGGAGTGAATTGGACACAGAGCAGCCAGGACTCCTGGTGCTCCAACATGGGACATGGACACCAACTCTGGATCCTAAACTCTTCAAAGATACTTGACTCCATTAGAAAACAGGAAAGGCAAAATAAAAGCACAGTAAGACAACATTTATTGTCATTGTGTTGTAAAAAAAAAAGTTGAACCTGGTAAATCCAAATGCCGGCAAAGATTTGGGTGAACTTGAACTTTTATGCCCTGGAATGAATAAGAAAACTAAACTGATACAACCTTGGAAAACAGTTTTTTTTTTTTTTCACATTAGTGTGTTAAGATGAACATTCACATAACATTCAACCTATTGATGCAGCTCCTGACTATGTATCCACATAGGTCCCATCACAGGTTTATCATGCAAGAGCAGAACCAAATACCTTGGAGACATCTTGAATGATAAGCCCTTTCTTGTCTACTTCTCTTTATTATTGTGATTTTTAATTTTTAAATCCATAAAGCAAAAACTGTGAGGTAATACTACAATGAATTCCCTTTGTTGTTAAATATGAAAGGTAATCATTTGTGTGCATCTTGTGAATGTTTATAAATTATTATCACAAACATGCAACCTGATTAAACTCAGGGTGGGATTATTTTTATATTTACCCTCTTCCATGGTGTCTTCATGTAAACCTTTGAGAATCTGGTTCTCCTAGGCAGACCAAAAGGAGAAAGCACTTGAATTTAATGTTCTGTTTTGCTTCGTGTGTTTCCTTTCTTTGTCCAAGGTGAAAGTGTGGTTCCAGAACAGAAGGATGAAGTGGAAGAGGGTAAAATTGGGCCAGCCGGGCACTGCTGCCTGAGAAAAGGAACTGGTGAACGTGAAGAAAGGAACCCTGCTCCCTTCAGAGCTGTCAGGGATCGGTGCAGCCATGCTCCAGCAAACAGGGGACTCTCTGGACAATGAAGACAGCCACAACGGCGACCACAGCTCAGAGCATGCACACTTATGATCCACACAGACAGGACCAGCTTCATTCTCAGGAAAGAAGCACCATGATGGCAAGCCTTACCCAACAGAGTTTACACAGAGAGATGGTCCATGGCCATGATTTTTAATATTATTAAATTCAGGCATCATGGGTCTGTTTTGCATGATTTATAGAGGAAGGAAGTGCCACTTATCAAAGATGCTTCCATGATGAAAATCAGAAGGTGAATTTTCTTTGAATAGTCCAGAGATGTTTGGTTGTGTGTATGACAGTGAGCAGGTATGTTTGCCTTTGCTTGAACTGAAAAATTAAATGGGTACTAAGAACAAATTATGACACATTTCTACACGAGATGCTTCCAGAGTGAAAACATTGAAGATGAACTTGCTTTAAATTCTCAAATGTACGAGTTCATGTTTATGACAGTGGGCAGGTATTTGCTTTTGCTTGCACTGAGAAATCGCCATCAAGAATAAAACATAAAACCTTTTATCCTGAACAGCAAAAGTGCCTGAGATCACTCAAATAGATTTTTAAAAAAGGATGCAGTTTAACTCTGTATATATTATCCTTAAGTCATTTTCCTGTCTTCACTAATTTTAGCAATTCATTCATATTAGCTGATGAAAATAGGCACTGATAATGCCAGCCAGGCCAGCTTCCTGCCTTTTTATGCATGTGTCATTCTGAGACAATCCGTATGCACTTACTTGTGTACAAGTAGAGAAACATACAGTAGTCTGATATGACATATTCTTGTACCACAGACAAAACAAACATTATGTTGCATTTACTATCACTGCTGCTAATATGTTATTATACAATTTACCTAGCTCCTCCTTGATTCGTCCTATCTTGTAGCTTGAAAAAAAAATAGGATCATAGGCATATCAGTTACTTTGTGGAGAGAGCTTTGTTGTGGCAGACACTGTCTGATTTTATTTTATTTTATTTTTTTGACAGGCAGAGTGGACAGTGAGAGAGAGAGACAGAGAGAAAGGTCCTCCTTTGCCGTTGGTTCACCCTCCAATGGCCACCGCGGCCGGCGCGCTGCGGCCGGCGCACCGCGCTGATCCGATAGCAGGAGCCAGGAGCCAGGTGCTTTTCCTGGTCTCCCATGGGGTGCAGGGCCCAAGCACCTGGGCCATCCTCCACTGCACTCCCTGGCCACAGCAGAGGGCTGGCCTGGAAGAGGGGTAACTGGGACAGAATCCGGCGCCCCGACTGGGACTAGAACCCGGTGTGCCGGCGCCGCTAGGCGGAGGATTAGCCTAGTGAGCCGCGGCGCCCGCCCCTGATTTTATTTCTATAAAATTAAAGCTGTTATGAATATGACTTAATTAACAAGAAAATGTTTCTTCCTTCTTAGAAATGGTGTCAGACAAGGAGCAAAGCCAAATGGGCTCCCCAAGGGGATAGACAAAACAATTCTGAATGTCTTCAAATTAAATTCAGTAAAAACACATTATTTTTTAATATGTGATGTATTCTTGCAGAACAACCATCTTTGTATTTTGTGAAAAATGTTTAATAAATGATCCTTTATAAATAATTTTGGTCTCCCCATTGCAATTTCTTTAATTTCTATAGATTTTAATATTCATATCTAAGAGTGCCCCAGACTCATCTGCTCTGTGCTAATTTAGATCAAGATCATTAATTAGTCACAGGTTTTCATTTGTAGATTTATTATGGCAAGAAAAAAATCAATCCTTGGGTGATCAAAGAGAATCTAAACATCATCATACAGTAAACCATTTTCTTAATTTGAAGAATATGGCAAATTTATGTTTTTGTGTGTTTTACAAAGCAAAGAGAAAAGGGAAAAGGTAACACTAACTGCCACAACTAATAAGTAAAGTAGTCATATATTTTAAAATTTATGTTTAACATATGTGAATCAATCCAATAGTTGTTTTAAAGTCACACCAACCAGAGTCCTTGATGTTACCATGAGCTAGCCAATCAGAATCTTCATTGGAATGGACACCACAGGTATCAGAAGTCAATGACTATAGGCTGGCGCTGTGGCTCAATAGGCTAATCCTCCACCTGCAGCGCCAGCACACTGGGTTCTAGTCCCAGTCAGGGTGCCAGTTCTGTCCTGGTTGCTCCTCTTCCTGTTCAGCTCTCTGCTATGGCCCAGGAAGGCAGTGGAGGATGGTCCAAGTGCTTGGGCCCTGCACCCACCCAGGAGACCAGGAGAAGCACCTGGATCCCGGCTACTGTGGGGGTGAACCAACGGAAAAAGAAAGACCTTTCTCTCTGTCTCTCTCTCTCACTGTCCACTCTGCCTGTTAAAAAAAAAAAGTCAAGGATTGTATTAACTTAATACATTTCATGTCATGCATGGTTGCACATGCATTTTTTGCCTAAGACCTACTTACAACTATATCATGTTATTTTTTAACTGTTCCACATTTAACCAGAAGAATTTGGAAACATTACCATCATTCCTCCTTCCCCCATAGAAATAAACAGAAAAATAATTCATAAACATTTCCAAATTACTCATTATTTGATTTTGTTTCAGAATGATTAGATTGACAAAAACATGTTGATTCTATTCTTAGTCTAGAAAGACATATATGAGTATTCAAGAAATAAAGTAAATTATATTTTTGTATCATATTTTCTCTTTGTGAAATACATTTTATCACACTGGTAAACAATATATCTAATTTTGGGGAGATCCTGTTCAAATTGAAGGTACAAAACATACTTTTCTATCAATCACTTGAAGGAATAAAAATTATGCTTGTATTGAAGATATCTATTTCTTTTTGTAGAATAACTCTGACTTTCAAAGAAAATAAATCTTAAAAAACAATTCTATAAAACAATTCAGTTAACATTTGCGGTAAGTGATACTTAGGTGAAAATATAATGTTTGCAATATAATTACAAACAATTGGCATAGTTATTATTTGAACCATCTGGGGAACAGTGTATTTTGCTGTCAGTTCCTTATGCTGCATTCTGTTTGTAAAAAGCAATTCAGAAATAGAAAGAAAGCCACAGAGAATTTAGCATGAGAGCAGTAGTCTAAACATTCCAAACCTGAAAACGTTTGAAGTCTGCAGAACTGATCTGCAAATGCTCTTGAGAAAGTGGTGTTTGTTGTGGTGGTTGTGGTTGTTTCCTGATTTCTTACCTAAAACTGGCCAGGAAAATTGAGTAATAATTCTCTCACGTGTACCTCAACGTTCAACTTTTGCCAAATAATGCTAACAGGCCTGGACAAAGGAACAAACGTGGTCCCAGAAAAAATAGATTGCTACATCAAGTTTTGAGAGCCGATTAAAAATTCAATAAGAATTTTTGAAATAAATCTAATAATTCTCTATTACCATGTGTTTTCTCAATAATCTCATTTTGACATTTGATATGCTTAAAGATATAGATACATTTAAAAATTAAAAATAGTTTTTCTTGTATGACTTATTTCCCACCTTTAGTAACTTTTTAAATTAAATCTGGCTTCAAACTGTGATCAAGAATTCCAGAAAATATTTTATTATATCATGGTTAGTAATTCCCCTTTAAAATAGTTTACTTTTTAAAAAATATAGTTTTCAGAAACAGTTCTTAAAACGAATTTTCAAAGATAATTATTGTCATATCCAGTTCATGTTAGGGGCTTTATTTTGTATTTCTGCCCTTTTGGAAATGGTTCATTGAGATAAACATTCATTTCCTTTATTTAAAGACTAATCACATGATTTTGGAACACATTTTTGTAGAACTAGTCAAGCATCCAGTGCTTTTGCAAATGTGTAATACTGATGGTTGAAAATATTTGTACATCTTTTTTATGTTCAGTGTATATTGATATTGAAAATCCATCACTTATCTAACCTGATGAAACACGAAACTCAAAGTATTATTTTATTCAAGCTAATACTTCTAATTAAATAATTTGCTTGGCTTTCATTTTCTTTGTGAGAGCTCCATTTTCATTGGCTTTGCCAACATTGGAATTGGTAATTTTTGTGATCCTGGGCCTATGTAATGTAAGAGAGTGGTGTTTAAAAAGTAGTAAGCAGGAGCGAGCATTTGGCCAAGTGGTTAAGAATCCCCTTGAGACAACCTTGCTACAATGGAATGAGGGCTTCTGAGTGTTGTTTCCATTTTAACTTCCTGCTAATGCAGACGCTGGGAGGCAGCACAGGAGGGCTCAAGGAATTGGGTTCCTGCCACACACACACAGTAGAATTACTCTCTGCCTTTCAAATGGATACATGAAAACTAAAATATAGAAATACAAAACCTGGAGAAAGTTATGTCTAAAATTATCAGGCTTTAAAAACACACACCTGTATATTCATTAGACAATCGGCTCCTAACACTGCTACACCTGCAGGTCCAATTGGGACTGTCAGATGGACCAACATCAGCGTGACCAGTGCCAGTCCTGCTGGCTCAAGAAGTGCTTCCGGGGGGGGGGGTTGTGCAGAAGGAGGGTGAGTGGCCCCCAGCCCCGCTGCAGCCTAGGGGGGGCGTGCGGTAGGTGGGTGAATGGCACCCCAGCCCGCTGCAGCTGGTGGGGGAGGCCTGCAGAAGGAGGGTGAGCGGCCCCCATCCTCCCTGCAGTCGGCTGGTGGGGCCCGGGGTTGCCACCTGCTAACCACAAGACCAGGGCCATTGCACCCTGTACTGGCGCAGGAATCCAATTACAGCTGTGGCCAGGGCCTGGTCCCCTGCCCAGGCCTGGCCACTGCGTCCTGAAGAAATACACAGACACACACATACACAGACACACACATACATGGACACACACATAAATGCACACACACGCACAAACAACACACGCACATACACACATTTATTTGGTTTCCGTTGCCCCCACCCCTGCTTCTGTTTGCTTAAGGCAGGAGCCGGGCAGCCTGAGCCCATGGGGACCCCACTCTTGTTCCCTCCCCTAGAAGCCCCAGCCTGGCCCAGGGAAGACACAGTCCAAGCAGCGTGGCCCTAAACGCCAATGCCCTGCAGTTTCTCCAGGCTCCACACAAGGGGCGGGGGGGCGGCAGTGGTCTCGGGGTAGGGGTGGGGGTGGGGTTCCAGCCTCAGGATAAATGCGCACCCCATACCTGCTTTCTGTCTGCCGGTTCTTCCCAGGGTCTGACCCCAGTCTCTCGCGCTTTCGAAGTCCTCCCCCCTCAATGCGTCTGTGAGGGAAGCTGATAAAGTCAGCTCAGAGCCCCTTGGAAAAGCCACTCCCTTCAGTTTGGGGGGGTTCACCTGTGCCCCCTCTTCTCACGTGGCTGATCTGAAATCCCGCTGGCCCGGCCCTCAGGTGGGCGCGCCTACAGCCACGTGCTGCATCCCCCACCCCATGCGCGGCCTCCCACCATCACAGCTCACAACCCCTTACTTTGCTTTGGAACCCAATGACTTCTCCAGGGACTCTCTGTCTTGTGCACTGTTGTGCCCCAGGGTCCCTGCATACAGTTGGCCCTCAGTAAATAGCCCATGGCTTCAGTTGCCACCAGGGTAGCCCTTCCTCCATGGCCAATACTGCTCTAAAGCAGATTTGTTAATTCGGAGGTTGGTGTTAAAGAGGGAGTTGTGGGTGGGATTTGAACCCCACACCCCAGCCTGGGCTGGAGGTGGGAGAGTTGGGGGTGGGGGTTTGAAGAAGGGGGGGTGAGCAGATGTAAAGGCCCTGGGGTAGGATGGGGGGGAGGAGTGGTGCAGGCGGGGCTTATAACCAGGGCAGCACTTTTGGGCCCCATTTGACCACTCCTACTGCACAGCTGACCCCCACCCCCGCAGGACTCAGCCCCACCTCCAGCCCCTAGTCCCCTCCAGGGCTGGTAATGTGCCCTGCGTGAGGCTGGCCTAGGGCTGGAGCTCATGGATTCTATCAGGCCAGGTGGGCGGGCTCATTAAGGCTCCTTAATTTGCCCTGCCTGGCAGCCAGCCCTCCCTGCCTCGGTTTCCCTCCTCCCACCTCACCTGCTTGCTGCGGGCGAGGCCCCAGCTCCCAGTCCCACCTGGGGAAGACCCCAGGCCCCCTCCCCACCCGGGCTCTCCCGGAGCTGGGGTGGGGGGACTCTGAGGGAGCCTAGCTCTGGCTGTCTTCTCCCTGCCCTTCTCTCTCTCCCTCCTGCCGCCCCGCAGCGCTGCAGCGCGGCCGCATCCTGTAATCGCTGCCAGGCAGCGCTGGCCGCCTCCTCCGGCAGCCCTCCTGGCTGGGTGCTGGCATGGCAGAGGACAGAGGCTTGTTCCTGGTGCAGCTGTGGGCGTGGCAGGTGCAGGTGGCGGCAGCGCGGCGCTGGGCATGGACCAGGTGAGAACGCTGGCGGCGCCGCTGCTCTTAGCGCTGCCCCTGCCTGCACAGGGCGCCACTGCTGGCCAAGGGCGCGCGGCCTTCCTGGACCAGGAGCAGGTGGAGGAGCTGGGCCGCCTGCAGGGGGACTCCGTGGAGCCCGGTGCCTCAATGTCATGGCGCTCTCGGCCTCTGCGCGCGCTGAGAGGCTGCAGGAGCAGGCGCAGGTGGTGCTCATGGAGTATTGCGCGCCCAGTACCCGTCCCAGCCCCACCGCGCCCGGCCCTGCACGCGCTCCAGGCGCCCCTCATTGCGCAGCTCCACTTCCTGCGCCTGGTGGGCAAGACGCCCTCCCAGACGCTCACCCGGGACTCGCTGCTGGCGGGCAGCCCCTTCAACTGGCCCTAGGGCTCTGGCCGGTGAGCCACCGCGTCAAGAAGACACTCTCTGCTCTGATTTCGGTATCACAGATTGCACAACACCTGGAAATAGTTTCTGTAAATGTGACGATCGGTTACAACGCAGAGAGGTTAAATGAAAAAGTGTCTAATCACGACCACATTCTTTCTTAGTAACTTCAGGCAGATTTAGCATCTCTACAATATATTAAATAATGGCAGATTATATCCCAGGAACACCATGTTTTTCTGATGGATTTCAAAATTTCATGGGAAATAGAAGTAGAAGATAAGTTTATGTTGGTGCATAACATTTGAAATATGTATTTCTCATAATACATGTTTTCCATGAACTTTTTAAATAACCCATGTATATATAAATTTCAACATGTTTTGAACCAAAATAAATTTAACTTTTAATTCCATTTCCACAATCTTTTTAAGGTACGCTTATGTGAGTCAAACAGATGGCTTCGCTCACGTAACACAAGGCTTGAGGAAATGTATCTGTATAAACATGTTTTGGGGGCTGGTGCTGTGGTGCAGCAGGTTAACGCCCTGGCCTGAAACGCTGGCATCCCATATGGCCACCAGTTCAAGACCTGGCTGCTCCATTTCAGACCCAGCTCTCTGCTATGGCCTGGAAAAGCAGTGGAAGATGGCCCAAGTGCTGCACCCTTGTGGGAGATCCAGGGGAAGCTCCTGGCTCCTGGCTTGGGATCGGCGCAGCTCTGGCGATTGCGGCCAATTGGGGAGTGAACCAGTGGGTGGAAGACCTCTCTCTCTCTCTCTCTTTCTTTCTGCCTCTGCTCTTTCTGTGTAACTCTTTCAAATAAATAAATCAATATTTAAAAAATAAATAAGCATGTTTTTGAAAAATAGTGGATATATATATATATAATACATCCTGCTTTGCAAGGGTTTTTTTTTGCTTAATAATGTAAATATATTTTATAGCTAAACTATGTGTCTTCATATGGATTTATCATATACTATTTAATGAATACTGTACTGTTAGATATTTACTTTTTTATCCTCAAGTTTCCCTAAGAAAAAGTTTCCATAGACACTTCTGAAACCTATTTTTCCAAAGAAAGATTTTTTTAAGAAGTGCTTATTTGGGACAAGAGTATATAATAACATAATCTGTATTGCTAAGACTTTTGGTACACATCACCAATTTCTTTTGCAAATTCACATTCTATTCAATGGCCATTGCCTCATATATGTCAAATGTCAACAGTTGCAATAGTTGTTTTGAATCTGATGAAAAACACATACTTTAATTTATATTTATTCAATTTTTAAATAAATTAAACATCTTACTGAGTTTGATAATTATATATATATTATACAGTTATATTATATATTATATTATAGTTAAGATATATAATATATAGTCTAATGTGATATATTCTAATATATAATTATATGTTATTATAAATTATATAATTATTATATATGTTATGTAACTATAACTGTTATATATTGTATAACTATATAATATATAATATAATATATGCATATATGTGTATATATATGTACACACACACTCATAGATTTATTTTTTTGACAGGCAGAGTTAGACAGTGAGAGAGAGAGACAGAGAGAAAGGTCTTTCTTCCATTGGTTCAACCCCCAAATGGCCCCCATGGCCGGCAAGCTGAGTCAATTCAAAGTCAGGAGCCTGGTGCTTCCTCCTCGCCTCCCATGCACGTGCAGGGCCCAAGCACTTGGGCCGCCCTCCACTGCCTTCCTGGGCCACAGCAGAGAGCTGGACTGGAAGAGGAGCAACCGGGACAGATTTTCATTCATTTCTGGAAATATTTTTTAAGATTTATTTATATATTTGAAAGGCAGAGTTACAGAGAGGCAGAGGCAGAGAGAGAAAAAGGTCTTCCATCTACTGGTTCACTCTCCAGAGGGCTGCAACAGCAAGAGCTGCCCTTATCTGAATTCAGGAGCTTCTTCTAGGTCTCTCACATGGGTGCAGGGGCCCAAGGACTTGGGCCATCTTCTACTGCTTTCCCAGGCCATAGCAAAAAGCTAGATATGAAGGGGAGTACCTGGGACTTGAACTGGGGCCCATATGGGATGCCAGCACTACAGGTGGTGGCTTTACCAACTATGCCATAGCATCAGCCCCAGGATATACTTTTTAATTTTAACAAAATTAATAAACTATGAGTAAAGTAATTGAGGAAACACAGGGAAAAGTAACACTAGTGTCCATTTTCATGTATTAAAACAATTGTTTACAGAGAAAAGAGCTTTGTCAAGATCAGAAAAAAATATTGTAAAACTCTTAGGGGTAAGGCCAGCGCTGCAGCCCACTAGGTTAATCCTCCGCCTGCAGCACCAGTACCCAGAGTTCTAGCCCTGGTTGGGGCACCGGATTCTGTCCTGGTTGTTCCTCTTCCAGTCCAGCTTTCTGCTGTAGCCCAGGAAGGCAGGGGAGGATGGCCCAAGTCCTTGGGTCCTGCACCCATATGGGAGACCAAGAGGAAGCACCTGGCTCCTGGCTTTGGAATGGTGTATCTCTGGCCATAGCGGCCATTTGGGGGGTCAACCAATGGAAGGAAGACCTTTCTCTCTGTCTCTCTCACCATCTAACTCTGCATGTCAAAAAAAAAAAATCTTGGGATAAAAACTTGACTAGAGATAAAAATCCACTATACTTTGAAAATCAAATTCCCAAACACAAACACAAATATAAAGTCCTAAAATCCAATATAAGAAGTATAAAATAGGAAAACTCCAAATTAAAACAAGCAAGTTGAATCCCAGTTTGAAGGCCACCAGCCAATAAAACAGAGAAACAAAACTTCAGTTATAGAAACACAAAATATTTCAAACATTTAAGAAATAAAAAAAACCTATATTTCTCAGATGTATCAAAGTATAAATAAGCAAAGCATACTTTCAGATTTCTTTTAGAAAGCCAGCATTACATTGATAATGATGCAAGTATGAATAGAACTTTCAATATAAATTAAGTATAAACTCTCTTTCATATACAGATGTATAAATCCTTAGTATTTGTATAATAAATGAAATCGCATATGAAAATGTAATGAATAACAAGTCACATATAATAAAAAATACAAGAGGTGGTTAACATTTCTTAACAAGTCATGTAAATTTTCCAGGTAGGTGAAAAATTCAAGGAGAAAATCACATGACAATTTAATGTTCAAAAACATTTAAAAATCAGCATGTAATTTTTAAAAACTGCTTGCAGTATAGTAAAAAAGAGCAATGGCTTTCTTATTCAGATCAAAATTTTTAAAAGGATCCTACAACGAAAACCATGATTAATACAGAATCATTGACAGCTTTTACCCTGGAAGTAAACCTAGACCAGGAAGTCTCCACTAGTGCCAACTTCTTATTGGAGGAGTAGTTGGGAGCGAGGGGGAGAGCAAAAAGAAATAAAATAAGATGTAAAGATCAATTTCTTAACAATAAATTGCCAATATATTGGAGATATTTATTTAGGGAGAATCCATAAAATCTAAAAACAAATAAACTGATAAATGAATTTAATGTTGTGGGAAAGATCAATGTTTTAAAAATCCATTAGATTACCAAGTGCCAGCAAGAAATAACTAGAAAATATAAAAGATCAATAGGCAGAGTAGAAAACAGAAGAAAAGAAAAAAAAAGAGTAAATTATGTTACATCTAAGTGTTATTCAAATCAATAAGTAATACAAACGACCCAACAGAATGAGCAGAAATACAAGGAAAACGAAAGCGCCGGAAGCGGATAAACAGAACTGTAACTCACTGCAACAGGTTACCGCCAGCTCCAGGCAGCATCCGCAGGGAGAAGGACGGGGACCCAGGGCGAGGCCAGTGGGTAGCAGGAGCTCGGAGGTGAGAGCCCTCCAGCCGCGGGGAGGCGGAGCCCAGGGGCGGCCATTTCAGACCTGAACCCAGGTCTGTCTCTCGCTGTTCCCATCCAGGACAACTTGAAGTTAGGGGTCCTTGCTATGGGGGACGCTGATTGGCTCCGTGCTTTGTGACGTTCCGTGCACTCAAGGCTGGCAAACTGTCCAATCAGGCAAGGTGACGTCCACAGTGCATCAGCACGCGGGGCCTGGACGTCACAATCTTCTCAGAGTTTTGCCTGCAGAGTGAACTCCTGGGAGACAGCTCCGCCGCCAGGAGGCTCCCAAGCGAGGTCGACCTCTGCAGCTCTCCACCTTCACTCACCGGGAACGCTGGGCAGCTAGGAAACTGACAACCGCGACATGGTGAGTGTGTGGACCTGGTTGTACCGAGAGGGGAAAACGGAGCCGAAGGCCAGGAGGACACAGGCCTCCGGCATCTGTGGGCTCCATATTGGCGCTGGCACAGGGCTTCCCCTCGGTCCCCTCAGACCCGTGGGTTGGGGGTTTTACCGGCACCCAGCACCCCCGAGGTCCTGCCCCTTCCCTGCTTGGGTGAGACTTCTCAGCCCGGAGTCCATAGCAGGCCAGCTGTGTGGCAGTAGCTCCACGTCTCCCCCGATTGTGCAGGGGGACTGGGCGGTCTCTAGGGAGAATGTGGGCTCTGTGTATGCAATTCATGCAGGACAGGCGCTGTCGGTTCCTCCTTCCCTCCCCACAGGGACCTGGTTCCCCCGAGTTTTCTCAATATGTGGCCTGCAGGGTATTTTCCAGGGCATTGACCTCTTTACACAGCTGTTTCTAGGATGTCTCACTCCTTCATATGTTTCCAATATCACAGTAACATAGACTGAGTAAGGTAGAGACAGAAGTTTTACTTGGCTTGGGGTTTTCACCCAGGTTTTAGAGAAGCAGAAAGACCCTGTAATTTGGTACTTGGGCAACGTCTTAGCACTTACACTTTCTCTGTACAGGGTGCCATCTCTATTTGCACTTTCGAAATAGAAATTTTGACCACTCAAATTTATGTGTGTTTTAAAAATGATTTCTCTTGCATGAAAGTCTTCCAAATCCTGTAGATATGTCTAGTTTACTAAGTTATTTTGGATTTATATTTTAATATAGGAGTCTGTTTAGTTTTGCTTGTTTTAATTTTTTCAAGATTGTCAGAGTATGACTGACACAATTTGTGTATCATCAAGTATGAAAACTGATGTTTTGCTATGTGAGGGACGTTAAAAAGTTATGGACAATTCACATTATCTTTTGATTACATTTTTTCATAAACTTTCTGGAATCCTCTTGTACATATACATTATGAAATGATTAAGACAATCTAACATATCCATCACATTACATCCCTATGTTATTAAAGAATATGTAAGATATTAGCAAGTTGTGAGTATGTGATATCATAACCAATTATTTACTGTGTTGAATATTAAGGTCTTGAAGTGTTAATTTTGTTAATTTATCTCATAGCTGCAAATGTGTGTTCAGCTAACATTTTCCCATGTCCTTCACTCTCAGCCCATGACAACCACCATTCTATTCTGTGATTAAGTGCGACTTTCTTAGCTTACACATATGAGTGATATTGTGTGGCATTTATCTTTCTGTGCCTTATTTCAAATAGCCTAATGTCCACATTCATATTTTTGGATCCACATCCTGACAAAATGGAAGAATTTCCTTATTAAGGTTGTCTGTGATTCCTGTGTATGTGTGTTTATCACATTTTCTTTATTCATATGTTGACAGTGGGGTTGTCTCCATATCTTGTTCTTGTAGATAATGCTGCCAGTAATGTGGAGATAAAGGTATCTATTTGAGATACTGATTTGGTTTCCTTTGGATATACACGCAGTTGTGAGATTGCTTTGTCATATGTTCTATGTTTAATTTTGATTGAAGACCTACATAATGTTTTCTGTATTGGATGTACCAATTTACTTTCTCAGCAACAATTTTTATATTCCTTTTTTCCACCCTGGGCCAATGTTATCTTTTTACTTTTGGATAATTATTTTAAACATATATGAGATGATAATCACTGTGGTCTTAATTAGCATTGTAGTCTTCATTAGCTGTTTCTGAACCCCTTTTAAGTTACCTGTTGGCTACTTGTATATATTCAATGGAAAACTGATCAATCCTTTGTGCAATTTTTATTACAATATTTGTTTTTGAGTTGTTTGTGTTCAAACCCAGGTTGTCCAATGTTTTCTTCATTTCTTGCTTTATCTGTTCTGTTTTTCCTATCACATGCAGAATATTTCTTAGATTTTTTTCAGTCTTTGCTTTTGTCACCTATGCGTTTAGTGTCATATCTAAACAATCATTGTTGAGACTAATATCAATGAATTTGCTTCCATTTGTAAGGGGTTTTATATTCTCAGACCTTTTATGTAAGCCTTCAATTCATTTTGATTTGACTTTCATGCCTGGGTAATATAAAGATATTATATTTCAGTTTTTGGCATGTAGATGAACAATTTTCCTCTGCTTCAGATGTGGTCACTAAACACTAAGTGGCAGGATCCAGGCAGAAACTGTCACAGTCCAGTTTTTCCCTAATCTGCCTTGTCTCCCAGACCCACTCTTCTGTGCTCTGCTGCTCTTCCCTGTCTGCCTGAAGAGACCTCAGAAGTGAGCATGCACAGAGAGAGACACATGAAGCAGTGTGCAATGTTGGGGAGAAGCAGAAACTATGTAGTAAAGGGGCAGGGCCCAGAAGGCTCTGTCTCCTTTCTCTGAAAGCCTTGGATATACAGAGGCACTTCAAAAATTCCCTGAGGGATTGACATTTGGCATGTGTTACAACCCTGCTTAGTATGTCCACATCCTATATTGGCATGCCTAGGTTACAGTCACAACTCTCAATTCCAGCTTTATGCTAATATGCACTTTTGGAGGGAGTGATGGCTGAAGTATGTGGGTCCCTGTAACCCACATGAGAGACTCAGTATCATCTGGGAAGCAGAGCTGATGGGGTCCTCCATGCAGAGTGGATGAACATAAGGTGTTCCTTTGCTGCAATGTGTGTTGGTGATCTGGAAAATAACACTCCATCATGAACTTTGTATGTCAAACAATGATGCACAACTGAGAAAAGGAGGCCACTGAGGTATTCAGGCATTTTTTTCAATTAGTCTATGCAGCTGCCATCCCCACAGGGAAGGGGCCCAACTGGAATAGTCCCAGTCTGACCACATGGATGCAGGAGGTTTATTTAAATTTTGAAAATTAATTTTATTCACATTAAAGGCACAGCGATCTCTCATCCACTGTTCTCTCCAGATATTCACAATAGCTGGAATTCAGCCAGGATGTGATGTGAAAACATCAGGTTTTATGAAGTGAAAATCCCAGAACTCAGTGTGGGATGGCACAGACCCAAGTATCTGAGCTATTATATGCTGCCTCCTAGGGTGCACTTTAGTAGGAAGCTGGACTGGAAGTGGAGTGGGACTCAAACCTACACACTCTAATATAGGATGTGGGTCTCGAAAGAGCCATCTTACATGCTGTTCCCCAATGCTCACCCCTCTGGTATTTTAAGAGGAGTCCTACAACAGTCCAAACCAACTCTCCTGGCCCTGATGGTCATAGCACCTGAAGTTAAGCTGTGCAGACCCTCAACACTCTAGAAAATACCCAAGTACATCCACGCAATGGAGTGTTCACAGCAGCAGCTTCCTGCTGTGCTTGTCACTCAGAACTATGAAGCTAAAGGTGTGCCATCAGGTGCTGTTCTGCCTGACACCTCTTCATCCACTTTCCACAAGCTGATACCACATCTGGCCATCCACATCAAAGTGGTCACTATTAGATGCTGTGTTGAAGGGGGATCCCAAGTTGTCTCATTTCAGATAAACTTCATGTGTTGCTTCAGACACTCCTTGCACTGATGTGGCTCATCCCCCCAGATAGTCTCCATAGCAGGTCCCTTGGCACAGTAGTTCATGCACCCCACAGGCACCTCTGTGGGTGACACTCATCTGTTTGCTGGGCTCATAGCCTAGATAATTGTGACCTGTGGGCACTGAATCAGGTATTACTTCATCAGTGTGGTGAACCAGCCTGCTGGGTCATTGGCAAAAAGGAGGACAAGTCCTTAGTATACCTGCATGGTCAACATATTAAGGCGGGACTCTTCCTTTTACCATGAACCCTGGTATTGTTTCTCCCCACTTCTCATTTACCATTTCTCATCCTTGGTTGGCATGGACAGTCTGGAATATCTCTTCTCCACCATGCCTAATGCTTTGTACAGATGGGGTATGCTGATCGAAGAGCCTGTGCATTTCCTCAATTCCCTCTGCACCATCAACACTCAAGCAAGGCCGTAGTAGAATTTGCCTCAGTTAATCACCATAAGTGAAAGCATGTGTTTGAAATTTGTATTTGTAACTTATCGCAGGTGGAAGCTTAACATCCTGCCTCACAATCATAATTCCAACCAGCCTATTTTACAGGTTAAAAAAAGAAATCATTTTCAGACTGCATTGATTTGCAAGAACGTGATAACATAATTATAGTGACATTAAGGGTTAGATGTTTAATATGTTGGTAAATTTGCCTAGAGAGAAGTGCCTGCCTTCTAATTTTGTATTAGGAAGGAAGGCAGTTAGGGGTGACAACCATAGCATTATGTAGTGAGTAGTAGACAACTTTCTGTTTGGTTCACCCCTTTGAACAGCCTGACATGAAATAGAAACTGCTCAAATGTTTGTTGAATGGGTAGAAATATCCAAGGAACCTGGAAGATATGAGAAATACCCAAAAACCTATATTTTTTCAGTGATTTACTGTATGCCCAGCTTTGGCTTCATGCTGTGGGAGCCAGTGCTGTGTCTAGGAATACTGATAGCAGCAGCAATTTATTGTGCTTCTTGTGAGCCAAGCATTCTGCACACATTTGTTTTCATTCTCTCTGCTACTCTGTGAGTTGAACATTGTGGGTTTTTTTATCCATAAGGAACTGAGGCCAAAAGAGGCCAAGCAACTGGACAACAAACAGGAAGGTGTGCCCTTAACTTCTGTATTCTAAGGCCTGCTTGGCTCAGAAAGCATACTTTCTTGTGGGAAGTAAACATAATTAGGACAATTACAAATTAGATACTAGGGAATAATTGTATAGTATGCCTCTCTTTCTACATATTTGTGTGCTACCAGCATTTCATAAAGTGTGGGGTTTTGTCATGATTAAGCTGTATGCTCTGGAATTAGATGCATGGATTGGAATCATTCCTGTGTGTGTAAAACTGGACATGTAGCCATGCATTTAAACATTTATTACAACTTCTTATAAAGTGTGGATGATAAAGGCACCTGCCTCCTTGTTGTGAGGGATGTGTAACTTGTGTAAATAATTCAGTGTGTGGTAGGCATTGCATCTCAG